CTGCCTGGACCCTAGCAAGTTCCAGGAAAGCAACCAAGCAGGGCAGGAGGAAGAGCACTTGCTTAGAACTGCAGGACAGAGGAACCTGGTACATTCTGGATGGCTTCCAGATGAAGCCAAGTCCAGGCCACTCCCTTTGTCTCCTCGTGAAGAAACTGAAGGTCAGAGAGGGACAGTGCTAGGCCCAGTGTCCCAAAGGAGTGAAGGCCCCAATAGGGCAGAGGCAGAAGCATGACCTGCCCTGGTTCCATGTCCAAAGAGGGACTCCATCATGGAGCTCATCCAATCACCCTGCTCTGATGTGGGTTGGATCTATTTCACAAAGTTTATGCACAGAACAACATATTGATTCACGGTCTTTGCTACAGGCTTTATGGTTCTGATTGCCCGCCCCACCAACCCCGTGGTCAGCTCTTGGGATTTTCATCCGTACCTAATATGGTCCAGATAGCCTGAAAAGCCACATTAGTATAGGCGCTATTTGATGACATGGGACAGAGAGAGAGATCAGGGGGCACTTTCTGGGGAATGAGCAGCGGGAGCTGCCCAATGGTCCTGACCAACAGTGAAGCAGCCTGAAAACTGGAGTAGTGGCTTAACCAGGAGCAGGAGAAACCGAGAGACCAGAGTTCTAGTCCCAGATGGGCAACAGACCCCTAACCTCTCTCAGCCTTTGGTTTCTCACTTAAAAAGTAAAGAAGTTGAGCCTGATGACTCACCAACTCGTTCCTGGCTCTAACAATGCACGGAATGTGGGGTGGGAGTGCCCAGGGGCTCAAGTTCTAGCCACTCATCTGCAGAGGACAATAGCGAGTGCCACTGCAATTCAAGAAGCTCTGGATCTGTAGAGCCAGCTCTGATGGCCTAGTAGTTAAAGTTTGACTTGCTCTGCTTCAGTGGTCCTGGTTCAGTTCCTGGGTGTGCACCCACACCACTCTTCTGTCAGTAGCCATTCTGTGGCAGTGGCTCACATAGAAGAACTAGAAGGACCTATAACTAAAATATACAACTATGTACTGGGGCTTTGGAGAGAAAAAAAAAGAAGAGGAAGATTGGCAACAGATGTTAGCTCAGAGCCGATCTTTCCCAGCAAAAAAAAAAAAAAAGGAAAGAAAGAAAAAAGAAGCTCTGGATCTGTATAATGAGGACTATCGTGATAATGCCAAGGTTTATGGAATGGTAACCATTGCCAGGTACTAGGGACTGAACTGTGTCCTCACAAAATCCATACATTGAAGCCCTAACCTCCAGTGTGACTGTGTCTGGAGACAGGGGCTTAGGAGGTAATTAAAGTTAAGTGAGGTCATAGAGTGGGGCCCTAATCGGATAGGACTATGGCCTCACAAGAAGAGGAAGAGAGCTCTCTCTCCCTCCCCCATACCTTTCTCTCTCCTGACCATGTGGGGACACAGCAAGAAGGCAGCCATCTACAAGCCAGGAAGAGGGTCCTCACGAGAACCCCACCATACTGGCACTTTGATCTTGGACTTCCAGCCTCCAGAACTCAGAAAATAAAGTTCTGTCGTTTGAGCCACCTAGCCTGTGGTATTTTGTTATGGCAGCCTGAGCTGACTAATACTGGGCAATTGGCCAAGAGCATCATCTCACTTAATCTCAGCAACCTCATGGGGTGCATACACTTATAATCCCCATTTTACAGGCAAGGAAACAGAAGCCAGAGAGGTCAACTTGCCCAAGGCTGAGTTTCAACAGAGATCGTCTAAAAAGTCATTATCTATGTAACTTTGGGAAATCAACCTCTCCAAACCTCAGTTTCCCCATCTGTCAAGTGGGAATAATAATAGTACATATAGATATAACATAGAGATATAGTACGTATGTAGATATAGAGATATAATAGCTACATTACAAATTGTAGTGAGGATAGATGAGCTAACACATGGAAAGTGCTTACGATGGTATTCTGTTGCGCAGTAACTCCTCCATTGTTGTTTGCTATTATTATTATTGTTGAGGTTATTCTCCTGTTCCTGTATTGCCAACCGCGGATTTCACGGCCAGCTTTGCTCATGGTCACTCTTGCTTTAGTGTATCTGATTTTACCATATGACCCCTCTCCCTCCACTTCTTCCTCTATCCCACAGAGGTAGACCCCCGACCCAAGGGGTTAGCAATCAGACTGCTCTCCTAGGAACCGGGCATTAGAAAGGAAAGGACTGAGTCCTTTGGTGATGAGCGGTAGCCCTGTTATGCTGGGCCTCGTGCAAACAGAAGATGCTGCTCAAGAGAAAGGCAACAAAGGAGCAGAGAGGAGAGGTCAGCGGGCACTGAGAGACAGAGAGATAGGAGATGGATCAGTGGTCTGAAGTGAAGAGAGAAGCTCAAGGCGCTGGTAGCTTTCCCCACCTAGGAACCAGCGGCCTAGCTGTTCTTCACTCTCTGCACTCTGATCCAACCTGCTGTGTTCTTTTTTTTTTTGAGGAAGATTAGCCCTGAGCTAACTACTGCCAGTCCTTCTCTTTTTTGCTGAGGAAGCCTGGCCCTGAGCTAACAGGGTGCTCATCTTCCTCTGCTTTATATGTGGGGTGCCTACCACAGCATGGCGTGCCAAGCCGTGCCATGTCTGCACCCAGGATCCGAACTGACGAACCCCAGGCCGCCGAGAAGCGGAACGTGCGAACTTAACCGCTGCACCACCGGGCCAGCCCCAACCTGCTGTGTTCTTATCATGCAGGTCTCTCCCTTATTTCCTTGCTAGAGGTTGAGAGGACCCCTGTGGCCAGAGAAACCAGAGGCCTGGGCCTTAGGGTGGGGGCGACTGCCTGTGAATCAGGCTGATTCCCCCAAACCACATGGCCAGGGACGTGTTGGTGGCAATTGTCTAGGACCCCTGAGTTTTTATGTCTTGGCTTTTATGTTCTCGACTCACCTCAGTTTTTGACCCTTGTGGCCTTGTCTCTCATTCTGGTTCCCGACTCATCCCTTGGAATTGACCCTAGATCTGACTTCCTTGGATTTTGACTCCAGGACATTGGCTTGCCCTCATGATCAGGCTTTCCCTGCTCCCACTTGCCAGGCCCCGTTCTCCGGGAGTCCGTGCTCATGCTGGCCCACACCCACGATGCCCCTGCCCGGCATGCCCTCCACCCCAACCTGCACAGTTAGTTTGAGTTTCCTAGAGGTTTTCTTGGGGACCCAGACTGTGAAATGACACCACTGGAACCTCATCGCTGCCTCGTTAAAGCCCATCATCCCTGTGCCACCACCTGGGTGATACCCTCCCTGCCTGCTCAGCCTCACCTGTCAGACTTGTCCCCAGGGACCTATCCTCTCCAGCCCTTGGCCTGCCCACGCACTGCACACGTGGAGAGCTGTCCATGTGCCCCTCTCCCCAACTAGAGGTGAGCACCTGCAGGGCAATGCCTCCTTCACCCCTGGAGCCCCCACAGTACCTAATCGATGCTCAACACATCTCAGGTGTTGGCAGGGAGGGGAGACCCCATGATACCATGGCAGTGGAGGAAATGGTGACGGCCTTGTGCCGTGGTCCCATTCGGCCCCATCCCCATTCTTCCACCTCTGTTCATTTCCTCTACTAAGCACCCTGTGAGGGTTAATTTTATGTGCCAACTTGACTGGATCACAGGATGCCCAGATATCTGGTTAAGCATTATTTCTAGGTGTGTCTGTGAGGGTGTTTCCGGGATATTAGCGTTTGAATTGGTAGACAGAGTAAAGATTGCCATCACTGAAGCAGATGGGCATCGTCCAATCTGTTGAGGGCCTGAATAGAAGAGAAACGTGGAGGAAGGAGGATTCTCTCTGTCTGCCTGACTGCTGAGCTAGGACATGGGGCTTCTGCTGCCCTTGGGCTGGGACTTACACTGTTGGCTCTCCTGGTGCTCAGGCCTTTGGACACGGGCTGGAACTACATGATTGGCCCTCTGGGGTCTACAGCTTGTAGGTGGCAGATAATGGAACTTCTCAGCACCTCTCTCTCTCTCTACATATATATCTATTTTTCTAGAGAACCCTGACTAAGACCCACCCTTTCCCACCCCCACCCCCCAAAATAAAAAAGCAAAACAGGGCACAGGGCTTGCACTAGGCAATGTCTATTAGTGAATGAGGTTACTATGCTCCCATAAACTGAATGTTTGTGTCCCCCCAAATTTATACATTGAAAACCTAACTCCCAATGTGACAGTATTAGGAGGTGGGGCCTTTAGGAGGTAAATATGTCATGAGGGTGGGGCCCTCATGAATGGAGTTAGTGCCGTTACAAAAGAGGCCCAGAAACCTCCCCCCCCAACATGTGAGGACACAGTGGGAAGTGGTCTACGGTCCAGGAAGCAGGCTCTCACTGATGCTGAATCGTGGCACTGTGACCTGGAGCTTCCAGCCTCCAGCACTGTGAGAAATAAGTGTCTGTTGTTTACAAGCCTCCAGTCCACGGTGTCTGTTATAGCGGCCCAAATGGACTAAGACATATGTCTTAAAAGCTGTTCCCGAGGTCAGAGCCCCACATGCAGTCCTGCTTCCTGGAGCAGGCCCAGCGGATTCCCGGGCGACCTGGCTGTCCTCTCTTTCCTGTGGACCCTGGAAAGCCAGGTTCTTTGGGGCAGGTCTGGCCTGGTCTCTTCCTACTTTCCTATTTTATCACCTTGTTTTAGAGACAAAAGAAGTATCACCCAGGTGTCCACGCCCGTCTTATTTTCCAATCTCATTTTAGCCAAAAAGGGATAGAGCCCTGCTGCAAGATGAAGAAAGCTCGCCTTGTTGCCCACTGGCTCCCTGCTCCTCATGGCTAATTCCCCCACACGCCCTTCATCCCTGGCCCCCACAGGACCATGGTGAACTCTCGGCAGAGCTCAGGGTCTCTGGAGTGAGGGGCCAGGGTTTCAGACCCAGACCCCACAGGGGGTCTGAATATCTAGGGGACCCCTCGTCCACTGATTCCACTTCAAAGCCCAGGGGAGGTGGAGCCCCTGGAGGCGTCATGCCCCTGGCTGGGCAGAAAGGACCAGAAGACACCCCCCTCCTAGAAATAGCTCTTTACTGAGTCAGTAATACTATGTCGCATGATATCATATGTAGACAGGAGACTTACATGGCAGTGGGGGCAGGCGTGCAAACCAGTTGCACATCTATTACAAGAAGGGAGATGGCGTTAAGGCTTTTGGAAAGGGGGGCGTGGGTGGAAGGGCTGGTCTCTGAGTCAGACTGGGGAGAAGACAGCTCCATGCCCCCACCCCAGGGGAGGTCAGAATCTGTTTGAACACAAAGGGAGGACAGCTTTACAACGAGTTAAGCCTATGGGTGGCCTTTACCCTGCGGTGGGAGCTTCCCAGGGCTCCTTTCTGCCAGTGTGTGCAGGAAGTCGGAGGTGGGCAAGGATGACTTCAAAGTGAGCCTCCTGCGGATTCAGGCCATTCCCTCCTCATCTGGTCTTGCTGCCTGTGCAGAGAGGCCTCGGGCCATTCTGGGTCACGGTGGTGTGAGGTCAGTGGGCAGCTGTGGGCAGGAGGAGAGCCAGGTGCGGGAGGGGAGAGTCACCCTGTTATCAGGGGTTGACCCTCCTTCAACCATCACAGAGGGGCCTACCCCAGGAATGGAGCGGGCTGGCCTCAGGGAAGCAAGGGAGGCAGGTTTGCACGCAGCACCTTCACACTGGCCTCTGCCTCCCCTCCTCCAGCTTTCTGGGTGCTGTGCCCCGCTTTGGCAGAATGTTCTAGGACCTGGATAGTCTCCCCGTGCAGATGCAACTCCTGCTCGGATTCCTTCGAGGATGCTCCTGAGAGGTGAAGGCAAGGATGAAGCAAGGCATCTTCCGCAGATGTGAAAAAACGCCGAACTCGCCAGGGTCGCCATGCGTGGGACCCGAGAATGATGGCCCCGTGGAGTTCCTCTGTCCTGTGTGAGGCAGGGGCAGCTCCTGGGACTCTGTTCCATGGCTAAGGGGAGGGTTTGTGGTTGCCCAATCTACCTTGTCCCTGGAGTTTGAACACCATCCCCTGGAAAGCTGTTCCTGGGTCTTTTCAGCCACTGGGAGCCTCAGGCAACTGCTGGCTCGGATGGGTGTGAAGACGCCAGAAAGACTGGGGTTGGTCACCACCAATTCAGAGAGAGATTCAAGACCTTCCTCCCGAGGTAGCCACCTCCCTGGCAGGCTCAGTCACGGGAGAGGAGCGTCTTCTCTTGCCCTGTCCTCCTGCCCAGCCAGAGAAACCCAGTCAGCCCCCCGGCCAGCAGGGAAATGTGTGCGTGTGTGTGAGGGGCTGCTTTCTATGGTACAGTCACTACTGGGGAGCCTGGAAGTGCAGGGCAGGCCTGGGGGAAGGCCCTTCGAGATCAAAATACCACAGTTGTCTGTAGGTGTGGCTTTCTGGGGGCTCACTCTGCCCTGAGCCCCCTTCCCGGCATTCTCTGTGGTAGAGTCTGGGGCAGGGGCACTCCTCAGTAGCGGCTCTGGCTTCCCGGTGGGCCTGGGGGCCCCGGGAGGCCAGGGGGACCCTGGATGCCTGGTTCACCCTTAGGTCCCGTGGGCCCCCGCTGGCCTGGTGACCCTGTCTTCCCAGCAATCCCAGGTTTTCCCTGAGGCCCCTCTGGCCCTGGAGACCCTGGGGGCCCCTCTGGCCCTGGGGGCCCCACGTCCCCTTTGGGGCCTGGCTGTCCTCTCAGGCCTCCAGTTCCAAAGCTGCCCTTTGAGCCTTTGAGGCCTGGGAAACCTCGCAGGCCAACCGGCCCCCTTTCTCCCACAGGTCCGGTGTCCCCAGGCTGCCCCTGAGGACCCTGGGGTCCCGGGGGTCCCAAGCTGCCGGGGTCTCCTTTTGGTCCTCTGCCACCAACAGGCCCTTTCACACCCAGATCTCCCTTGAGTCCTTTTGGTCCTGGAGGGCCAGGGGCACCTAGGGTTGGAGAGAAGAGGGGAAAGGTCAGTCTATGAGGGGCAGGTCCCCCGAGGCTCCCCATGAAGTGGGTGTGGTGCAGTGGGCACAGCCCGAGGGTTAGACAACGCAGAGCCCAGGTCTGCCAGCTGCAGGCTCCGGGAGTTCAAGCTGTCACTTGACTTCTCTGAGGCGGCTTTCCCATCTGTGATGTGAGAATGAGAATACTCACCTGCAGGCTGCCGATCGGCTTCTGAAATAACACGGGAAGTATCTGAGACGAGGCCTGGGGCACAGCGGGCACTCATTGTGCCTTCAGGGCTTGTCCATAGTTCCACTTGTGCACTCGAGTTGGGGACTGAGAGAGCTGGACAGCTCTGGGACAAGGCCAAGGCTGTCCAGGATTGTCTGTCCCCTCCAGAGGCCAACCTGGCCTTCTACATCTCCTGTGGTCTCACTCCCTTCCCCAACCCCCCATCTAACCCCAGGTATTGCCCATGACTGCTTAGGGATCCAGAGGTGGAGTCAGGGGACATAGAGGAGAAAATGAGGCATGAGAAGCAGACGTCTCCCAGGGTGAGTGCGTGGGCACAGTGACAGCCCACAGAAAGGGCACCTCCTCCAGGAAGCCCACTCTGACCACTCCACCTCTTCTCTGAGCTCTTGGGGCTACCACTTTCTGAATCTTTTAGTGGACATATAGAGAGAAGAGAAGTCACAGTACAGTGAAAGGAAACCCTTGTGCCTATCTGGTGGACCCCACTAGACTGAGAGCCTGAGGGAGACAGAGGACCATGGCTCATATCCCCCACCCTGGGCACAAAGCCTGGCACACAGCAGGGAAAGCTCAGGGTATGCTTGAAGAAGGTGATTCACCAAACAGCTGTGGACCCTGCTGCCACCCAGTTCTGGCCTGCGGCCTGGGGGACACGCCAAGGTGAAGACATGGCCATTCCTCAAAGAGCCCAGGCTAGCACCCAAGTCAGGGGTCAGGTGACCTTACTATCCTTCCAGCCATGAAGGTCAGGGAGTGACCACCTCTCAGACCCGTGTCAGCCCTGAGGACACACAGCAGAGTATGGCTGTCAGTCTGCCCAAGGCACATCTGTATGCCCCAGGAGCACAGAGGAGACAGAACCATCTGGCCTGGGGAGGGCAGTAGTCGTGGAGAAGTTTCAGCCCCCACGAGGCCAAGGCACAGCAAGGCCTGGCTTTCTTCACTGGTCCTGTCACAGGCTCACCGGGTGGGGGCCTGGAGCAGCGAACCCCAGGGCTGGCCTGGGAGGTGAATTCTAATGCCCGGGCTCAGCCCTCCCTCAGAAGTCCGCAGTTACATCATCCTCTTTGCAAGAGAATCCTAGAGCTTTTGAGCCAGTTGGGAGCTAGTCCAGTTCCTTCATTTCACAGAGGAAGCAACCAAAGCTCTGAGAGATCAAGTGATATCCCCAGGAGTCTCTGAGAAGAAACAGAAGCCAGGTGGGCCTCTCAGAGAGAAGGATCCCGTCTGCTGGGAGCCCTCCCAGGGGCCACGGTCCAGTTCTGTGGCGTCAGGGCCCCTTCCACGGCTAATGCAGCCGCCACTGCTGTTAGTCCTGGCTGAGGCTACCTGCTGCCCTCCCCCACCTCCCCATGCTGCTCCTGGCCCCCCCGCCCCCTCCTCCCCCGTCGTCTCCTTCCCGGAGTGTTTCTAAGTGGAACACAGTGTCCGTGAATACTGTCCTCTATTACCATCTAAACTGGAAACCAGAGCCCAGACCGTCAGCCCCACAGGGCCAATAAAAACCTTCCAGCCATTCCCTGCCACTGCCTGCCCATGCCCACCTCCCACACACAGCAGGGATGGGGCCCTGCGTGGGCTTGGCTCACATGGCCTGCCAGCCGCACAGGCTGGGATTCTGTCATCGGGCTGGCTGGAGGTGGGGGTGGGGCTGGCTGGTAGCGGCAGCAACCTGGGCTGGGAGCAGCCCTGAGGAGGGACCTGCCCTTTGGTCCAGAGTGAGCCCCCCTCCCCAAGCATGGCAGCCAGAATAACACAGAACAACAAAGGCACAGGGAGATGCCCGCCCAGGAACCGCCTCCCCGCCGCCTGGCAGGACTTGCTGGAAACTGGCAAGGCCACGGCGCCTGTCTTCACCCCAACTCTGCCCTTGGCACCTGGGCCAGCTGAGGCTTGGAAAAGCAGAGCTTCAGAGGTGGAGAGGCCCCTGGAGGCTGTGCATGTGGACGGGAGTTGGAGGGCCTTGGAGCCATGCTGGGCAAGTCCTGCCCATTCTGGAGCTCGGGTGCACATCTATGAAGTTGCGAGTTGCACCCACCAGTTCCTCAGGGCCCCAGTGGCTCCAGGACCTCCCCTCCTCCTGACTGTCCCTGCTCCTCCGCCTGCTTCTTTAGGCTCCTTTGCCTGCTCTAGGAACACGGCTCCCCAAGGCTCACCCCCAGCTCCCTGGTCCTTCACTCTCTGTTCTCACAACCACTTCTGTGGCTTCCACTCTTGTCCCCTGGATGGAGGGTCCACAATCCCCACCTCCAGCCTCAATTGAGGAAAAGCCTGAGAAGTCTCACCTTGACAAGGATGCCCAGCCCTGCCTGGCCCCCAGGTCCAGTGGGAGCCCCCTCACTCTCTCCCCATGGCCATTCCTTCCCATGCCACCATCTTCGTCAGGTGCCCTCTCCTCCCTGGCCCCTGAGGATCACAGCAACTGACTGTGAGGATGTCTAAGGATTTCTGTGCCAACAGAGTGGGAGAAAGGCAGAGAGAAAAGGGCCCCCTTTCGTCCCTCCCCACAAGCCCCTCAGCTCCTCTTTCTGGGGAAGCTCTCAGATGTCTTTCCCTGGATGGGGAAGGCTGGGTACCCGCATGCCCACGGGGAAGGTCTGTGCAGAAGCCTGGGTCACACTGTCCACCTCATTCCCCCAGGAGCTGCAGCTTCCAGCAAAGAGGACTGCGAGGAAAACAGTTGCCTCCCTCGCCATACCCCCAGCCACAGCTGCCACGGCTGACCCCGTCTCTGAGAACCCAGACAGGTTCCCAGGCAGTAGCTTTGTGGAATCAAGTGGGTGGCTTCCTCAGGACTACTGTGTTGCAGGTGCTGGCTACGCTGGCCGCCTACGTCCCAGCTGGTGGCTGGAGCCCGTTGTGCTGGTGTGCCCAGGCCGGTGCTGCAGCGTTCGGCCCTGGCTCGGCTCTTCAGCACCTCTGTGACCTGCCTGCTCTCGGAATAGGGAAGGGCAATGAGAGCAGAGAGCGTCAGGCTTATCTCTGTGTGTCCCCAGTCCATACATTGCATCTGTCGCCCCATTTTACAGATGAGAAACCCTGGTACAGAGAGTGGCAACTTGCCCAAGCTTACCAACCATTGAGGGGCAGAGACAGGATTCAAACCCCTGCCTGAGAAGCTCTGAGACCCACACTCCCTCCCCCCACCCTGCTGCCGCTGCTCTTCATCACTCTGCGGCTGGGGATCCTGGCCCTTTCTCGAGCCCCCTGTCCTCCCACTGCCAGTCTTCCTGCCCTGGTGCTGCCTGGAGGAGAGTGAGGGTCCCCACAGAGCACGAGGGGGAAACCTGAAGGCCTGTCTTCCTCAGGTGAGCCGAGCCTCCGCCCATCCCTCCCAGGCCAGCCATGAATCATGCGGGCACAGGCAGAGCTGGTGGGACCAGGGTCTGGCCCAGGAGGAAGTCAACAGCGGTAGTTTAGTGGTTAGCGTAGGGGGAAGGAATGTGGACAGAGGCTGACCCAGGCGCTCTCCAGGATAGACATAGCCCGTAATGAGATCTTGGTATCGGCAGGGCTGAAGGGCAAGAGAGGGGGGGCTAAGTGCTGCTCTGAGCAGGGGGACATTGGAGACAAAGGAGGTAGCACGCAGCAGGGGCTGAGGGGTGGGGTTGGGAGAGGGGAGCAGAGCATCCTGGAGTCCGGGGAGGCCCATAATTACTCAGGAAGCCACAGGCTGTAATTAGGCCATCTCAGCCCATTAGGGTAGAGCCACAACTGACAGCATGTCTGGGACAAGTAGGTGGTCTGCCCTGGGAACAGGGAGAGGGTGGGGGGTGAGCAGAAGCACCAAGCTCTCAGGGCACAAACACTGCCGGCCCATGGGTGGGGTTCTGCACGGCGGGAGGGCCCTCAGAGCGTCTCACAGTGCGAGGCCACAGGCAGCTTACCTGGGGAGAAGGAAACAACCAGAAGCGGTGCCTCTCGCGAGACTGGCCTGGTGCCGTGGAAGGCACACTGGCCTGCACTTCGGGGGACTAGGGCTGAGGCCCGGCTCTGGTATTAACAAAGTAGGTGGCTGCTTAAGTCTTTGTCCCTCTTTGGACTTCAGGCTCCCTTGTTCTATGGGAATACTGGCCCGGATGAGGGACTCTCAGTCCTGGCTACTGTCACCTGAGGAGCGTTGCACACATGCCTGTGGGTTTCCACTTCTGCCTATAATGGACTGGTTTGTAACAGACTCAACCTCCCACCGAGAACAACCAGAGAGATTAGATAAAATACCAAGACGTCCTCTGAAGGCTTTGGAGAGCGATCAAGGGCCCAGATCGCAGGGAGCAGGGAGGCTGGGTGAAGTAAGCCTGACTTTCTTGGCCGCTCTTCCTCTCAAGGCATTTGTGGACTAGTAATTGGTTTGGGCAGAGAGGCTGAGGAGCCTAACAAAAGGCTGCAGCTGTTGGGCCGAGGAGCAGAGGAGGGCTTCCAGCAGTTTCACTGGGACTGGAGCTCAGGGCTGCCAAGGGTCAGGGTGGAGAGTCAGGAGAAAAGGAATCTGCGTGCATTTGCAATGAGGAGCACGGAGCAGAGAAGCTGAGCAGAGCGTTCGGCCTCATTCATTCTGTCCTGTGGTGCTGGGGAGACAGTAATTGGAGTTCAAGGCTGACAAAGCAGTAGGAAAACACTCCTCAAGAACTGTGCCCTAGAAGTAAGAGTGCATCAGGAATAGGCCAGTGTCACGGTCACCACAGGTACCAACGGAAGCTTGCATGGTACTCCTTTTCATCGATCGCTTTGGCTGCTCGACAGC